AATATATCCTACAACCGCCACTGCTGATTTTCTAAATTAATTTCCGCCTATAATAAAGTGTGTACTATTAAATATTATCAGTAATCAATACAGCTAGAAAATGTAATGTATCATTTCTTTAATTTCCCTCTAAACAGACAAATTTAAAGTCGACTTTAGTGCTGTCTTTATAGTGGGAATTTATTACAAAAAAACACAGCTATTCACAGATATTCGACCAATCAACAGAGTAGATTAGTTCAACCCTTGGAAGCGTTCATTCTCCTTTGAGGGGCTAATGTCTTGTCTTGTGTATGCGAAGGAAGACATTACAGACTAATTTTATTTTATCTAAACTTAAATATATAAAGATATTTTGTGAAATAATTCTCAAACAAATTTTGTAATATATGCTCAGGTCAGAATAAATCCAATGAAACTGTAAAAAAGTAAGTGCCCTGTAAATTGTGCATGACAGACCATTTGCGATACTGGAATAAACCAGCGTAAACCATGTGTTTGTTTGTTCAATACACGTACAGTTGTACCTGGATGACTCGAAGGCACTGTTTATATATATATAGACCTTGCTTAGTGCTAGTATCTGCAGCCTTTGTAGTAAGTATATAAAATGGTTGTTAATATCAAAGCTATTTAAACCTAAAACATATTTATGACCTTCTGTGTCTTTTCAGGTGCATTGTGCTGTGTGCAGATTGAGTAGGACACGGCTGAGTGGGGCCAATTTTTTAGAAGGCTAGGCTAGGGCCTGGGCGGGATTCGGTTGTTTTGTATTGTTTGTAAGCCTAGGCTAGGTGAGGCAAGGCCCTCCTCTCTATAGGCTAGTTTAGGTAAGGCCTGGCTGCATGCGTAAGCCTGCCTAAGGTTTCCACTACATGTACTAGGCCTAGCTAGTGTGATACCATCTATGATAGCTGACAGACTGAAAACCCATGGTCAATCGGACCCAACAATGGGTGTGCGTGTTTATGAATTGATTAAACTTTAAAAATATGGGAAGGAAAATGACGCAGTGGTAGCTCCAAAAAAATTTGCCAACAGCGGGGTGCGATAAGTTTGACAGGAGGTTCGAACCAAGGGCCGACTAGAGTCTCAGTCAGGGTTCCTTAATAAAATATTTATTGAGATTTTAGAGCACAATTTTAGGAGGATATCAAAAACATTTGGATAGGCAAATATCTTTGATCCAACGGCCTGTCCGTTGGACGGGGGTTGGGAGTGCAAATCTTTGAACCTCCACTTCCCTTCAGACCTCTGATAATTTTCAATTATTATTATTATTTATTTATTTCAGAGATTTATATGTGCTGTAAATTAGGAGTTTCTGCATTTCCTACACAGTAAATATTAAAAATTCAGAGTTTCCACATCTGACACAAAAGTACTGTACACTAAAATCTGAGTTTTTGCATATTTTTAAAGGATTTACCTATTATATGCAGAATTTTAATTTTAGAGTATTTTTCAGTTACAAAATTAAACACTGCTTGGCCACATCACTTCACTTTTATTATAGGCCATAGTGTTCAAGGCTAACTTGCTGATTTATGCATCAATTTTTTTTAATACTCTTTTTTTTTATATCCAAGATTAAAGATTCCATTTACTGTCATATACAACATAGTACAGGAAATTTGTATTTCAGAGCTAAGAATACACAAAATACATTCAGATAAAATAACAATTATACATATAGTGCAAAAGGATATATAAATAACAGTTAAATTAATAAAATACAGAGTATGTACAGTACAGTGACAAAGGATCAAACTGAGTTAAATTAATAAAATACAGAGTATGTACAGTACAGTGACAAAGGATCAAACTGAGTTAAATTAATAAAATACAGTATGTACAGTACAGTGACAAAGGATCAAAATGAGTTGTATGCTGTAGAGATAAAAGAGTTGAAATATTCTTGATGGTATAAAAAAGATGAGACTATCTGGTGAATAATTTGTTATACAGATGACAGGCATATAACAAAATTAAGTTTTTGCATCTATTTGTTTTCATATCCTGCCAGATTTATTAAAATGAATATACTTATATAGTGGATGAGTAGCATCAGTAATAATTGAATCCATTTTTTAAGCACATTTCTGACATAAAGTTCATTTTCTTTTATCAATTTTTCCATTCTAGAGTAAATCAAATGCTTTGAAATGGCTGGGACTATAGCTCGAGTTGGACAGTTCCTCTCTAGATTGGACCACAGTTATCGCATTAGTCCTTTGTTGGCTTCTGTTACATCAAAGAATTATACAACACCAAGGTAAGGATGTAAACAAACCAAGAATTATGTCGAGGATGTATGAGTTAGTTTTTGTTAAAACATTATTATTGTGTGGCTCTTACTTATTCATTTGTTTACATAGCGATGGAAAGTCTCCAACAAAACCTCTCAACAAACGCTTGAAAGAAACGGCAGAAGCTGTCGTTATCGGAGGAGGTTGTGTTGGTGTTAGTACAGCGTACCACTTGGCCAAAGCAGGAATGAAAGATGTTGTGTTATTGGAGAAAACTGAACTGACCGCAGGTTCCACTTGGCATGCTGTAAGGTTTACCAGTTTGTTACTCATAAAACTTAATAATAAATAATAATAATAATTCTGGATTTATATAGCGCCTCACTTACTTTACATTACTACATACAACAGAATTTTACTATCATTATTGATGATTCTTTATAAATATTTTGTAAACAATAAAAAAAAAATACAATGAAACATGAGAAGGACAGTTAAATTCAGATTATAAAAATTGTGCATATATATGAAAATATAAACAAATTAAGAACTGTAAATTAGTAAAAATACTTATTTAGTCAGAAAAATTGTATACAATTATTTTTGTTTTTTTGTTATTCTGTTTTTGTTTTCTAGGCTGGTCTTGCAACATACTACCATCCAGGTATCAATTTGAAAAATATTCACTACTACAGTATCCAGCTTTTCTCACAACTCAAAGAAGAGACAGGACAGGTAATGTAAGGTGACACCCTGGACCACTAGGATCGTGATAAGCTCAATGTGGCTACAATATTGCCTTGAAATGAGAATGTGGGGTCCCAGGGAAAATCCTCACTATTCACCACCATAGAAATTAAACTTAATAAACACATGGGTCTGTTGACAGCATATAAATTTCAAAAACAGGGTAGTGTAATATAGTTGAATTTATATACTGTAGCATTTTATACCAAAGTATACAAGAACTTGCTTCTCCCCTAATGGTCTCTTTGTATGTCTGAGCTACCCCAATAAACCGGTACCAGGTATCTCTCCTCTGTCATAAGCAGGGGCTGCATGTAGGCACACCGGGGTTACCCCGTACTTGTCTCAAAAATGTACTGAGCCAAATTGTGTACACTGGGCCTACGGTTTGTAGGCCTTATCCAAGAAGACTTGTTCCACCACCAGTACCATAGGTGAACGTGCCTTTCAAACCAGCGCCAATGTTATGGATTACGTTGCGGTGCCCCTGTCTTGCCTTAATTCAAATTGTTGTTCTAGTTATTAAATATTTGAAAATCTTTTACTCATTAGCCATTCCCAATTAGACTTCATTATCTTCTAATAGTAAAAACAATAGTAAAGGAACACCTTTGGAATACAATTGACATGTTGACAAGGACGTGAATCCCCGCCCACAAAGTCACGAAAATCTTAGACAATAGCGGCTAGACTTACAGAGTTGGCGAAGATCTTCTTTGCTATCAACCTTCTTTAAGAAAGAGAATTCAGGGTAGGCAGTATGCAAATGAATCATATATTCATAGTATTAATTTATTTCATGGAACATGGCATTCAGTCAAACTTGTTGTCGGCAAATGCCAAGTCACTGATGCACACTGCTCCTGTAAATCTGGGTATCTATAACCAAGCACAGACATCTAGGCCTAGGCTCACGTATGTTTCGAGTTTAAACCAGCTGTCTAAGGAAATTAAAATGTCACAGAAAAAGTTTTTGATCACGTGACTAAATGACGCTCTCAGATTAGTCGGTTTATCTGTCAATCAAATCTGGTCAAGATGTTAATTAAGGGTGTCTCCCTATTAGAATTGTATCTTTAAAGGGGTTCTACTGCAGATTCAAATGCACAGAGTTTTTACTTCTGTTGGGGTTTTTTTTTTGTATTTTGCTTGAATCACAATTCATTATCATGCCTGATCATTTTTTTCTTCCAATCATCCTTTAGGAGGTTGGCTTCCATACACCAGGAAGTTTAAGGGTAGCGATGACGCCGGAGCGTTGTGATGAATTTCACTACCAGATGCAGCGACAGGCATGGCAAAAAGCCCCACAGTGGCTTCTCACTCCTGAGGAAATCCAAGAAGTTCATCCACTCCTTAATATGGATAAGGTACACAGTTTTATCAATCATTTGCATAATTTTTGTAATTAATTCCTTTTTGTTAATTTTGCTATGCATTTTTTAATTTATTGTATTTTTATGTAAATTTTATCTGGACCACAATTATCTCCATTACCTTTGCATTGAGTGTGCCATCCAGAATAAAGAAAATTGAATAAAAAAATAAATCCAATATTTGCTTCTTCAAATAATAATAAAAGTGAATGTGTGACAGACCAGGTATCTTGTTAGTTTGATCAAACAATGTCAAATCTGAACCTAGGCAGCTATTTCTTTTATTATTTTAAGCCAAGGTATGAATTTTCCTCGCCTTGTGCCATTTATTCGAGGGAGGCATTTATTACAAATGAGTCTCTAGAGCAGGGGTGGGCACAAAATTCGGTCGGAGGGCCAAAGTGAATTTCTGATTTAACACCGAGGGCCGCACTCAAACTTTGATTTTTCCAGTGCGCTTTCAAAAACCTCCAAGCACTGATTTTACTCCACTTTATTCCCAGTTTTAATATACTTTTTACATATGATCGGTGTGGGGCCGTAAAAAACAAGGTATTTTCTAGCCAATGTTGCTTGGCGGGCCACACACATAGGGTTTTTAATTCATATTCCCGGGCCGCAAAAAAAATTGCTGTTGGGCCGCGTGCAGGCCGCACTTTGCCCACCTATGCTCTAGAGGCAACGTTTATTTGAGGAGCGTTTATTCAAAGTGGTGTTTATTTGAATAAATATGGTAATTCAGTTTGTATTATATGATGTTATGGTCAAGTGAGTGTATAAAATGACTAAACCTGGTTGTGGTATTCATTTAGGTTTTACTGGGTCTTTTCAACCCTGGGGATGGTCATATTGACCCATATTCTTTGACACAAGCTCTTGCTATCGGGGCCAGGATGTATGGTGCGGATTTGTACCAGAATAGTCCAGTAACAGCTACTTTTCAGCGATCGGATGGTGGATGGGATGTCATGACTGAGCATGGTACCATCAATGCTAAGAGAGTCATCAATGCTGCAGGTACTGTAAACTATTCTGATGTCTGTTTTTTTTTTCTTTGCCTAAAGTTGGAATTTGGTTCAAATGAGATAATGCAGAAGTATAGGATTGAACTTACGGTAAGATAAGATAAAATTTATTGTCATGACTACAAAACAAGAAGACGAACATGAAATTTGGTTCCCTTGATGCTTAACTACACAAATAATACAGTTATGAAACAAATAAAAAATCAAGATTAATTGCACTTAAAAATAATTATACATGAACAACTGAAAAAAATATATACAGTACAATATACAAACTATCTTGATAATATTAATGTTATATAACAAATATTGCCTAATGCCTCGATATACTTCAAACAAAAATGTTATCCAACGGGCAGGAAAGTAATATTCTAAACTATCCTGTTTTTATAAATAAACATGTTTGGCTCTTGAACTATTTTTCATGTACATGTGCTATTATGCACATAGGAAGTCCGACACTCGCAATTGGCAAGTCTCAAATCTGTCCCTCTCCCACCAAAAATTTTCGGTCGATTCATACATGCATCCTGTTGGTTTTTCTTATTGGTGGGTGAATTTTGTCAGCAGCCAGTGAGATATCGTCAGTTTAGTAGCTGATTTAATCAACTTCACTTTCACAACAGTGCCACACATAAAAGTTCTATGGTGCATCCGAAATATCTTAATACTTAACATAAAATTTTTTAAAAACTTAATTGTATATACAAAAGAATGTTAAACAGTAGGCCTAGTTAATTAATGTTAAACATATCTTTAAACAATAAAAGAAATTAATACAGTATAGTAAAAAAAGTTTGAAATCAAATTTTGAGCAAACAGATTCATAACCAAAAGTAAACAAATGAAAATCACAGTGCATGTTTAGATGCAAATTTACGAACTGTTAACTCATACAAAGTAGCCGCTGACTTGACAGCAACTTTAGACTGTACACGTTCCAGACCTGTCATTGCATAATGATAATATTACTTAGCTTTATTTTAACACGGCAAATCTTTTTTCAACAGAAGTCTGTGTAGGAAAGAACCAAAAAATTAACAAATTAAATTTAACAAATTGGAAAGCAAGTAAAAAACAGTACCTTAAGGCTACCATTAACTTAACTACTGTACAACTTAAAAAAAAACAAAAAATGCATTTATAGAAAGCAATTCTTAATATATATGGAATGTCAACGTTTTGTAAATGACCCCCCCCCCCCCCCCCGAAACCCAGTTTTCTTGAGTAAGACAGTTTACTGTAACTAGTAGTAAAATGTAATGTCTTGCCGACTGTCAAATGCAGCACCAGTTGCATCACACTGGAACTCTTAGGATGGTGGGAGTGTGCTATACTTGAGGATTCCTACATAAATACAGTAAGATTGGTAATTATCACTAATCCAAGTTGAGCGCAACCCAGTGGCTAAACCTCAATCCAGTTATGCAAGATATAAGAAGTAGTACATGATAACTAAATGAATAAAATAATTCCCATTTAATATACAAGTTTCAATTTCAATATATTCTCATATCATATGATATCCTCAATAGGCTTTTGGGGAACTGAGATTGGCAAAATGGCTGGCATTGATATTCCATTAGTGCCCATCCACCATCAGTATGTAGTAACCTCGACCATCCCGGAGGTGAAAGCCTTGAAGAAGGAGCTGCCGGTGATTCGTGATCTGGATGGATCATACTATTTACGGCAGGAGAGGTCTGGTCTGCTTGTAGGCCCATACGAAGCTGAACACAAGATGAGACTTCAAGATGATTGGATAACGGAAGGGGTTCCGCCGGGTAAGAGTTTTTTGATATTATTATTCAAGATCACACGATTCAAATGGTTGTTCTAAATGTTTATTCTATTAACTTGTTACTGATTGGACAACTGGTTTCCTTCTAGATTTTGGCCGAGAACTGTATGAGAGTGATCTTGATAGGATTAGTGACAATCTGGAATATGCCATGGAATTGGTTCCAGTTTTAGCCAAAGGTGACATCCAGTCAGTGGTTGCCGGGCCAATCACCTACTCTCCTGAAAACCAAGCCCTAATTGGTCCATGCTATGGTGTTCAGAATTACTGGGTTCTGTGTGGTTTTGGGTAAATATAATTTGAATACTTATGGGAATGAAATATTAGTTTATTACCTTCGCCAAGGAGGTTATATATTTACTGCTGTTAGTCTGTTAGCAAGATTACATAAATGATCATAAAATTTAGTGGAATGGTATGTAATAATCTACGAAAAACACCATTTAGAGGAAAAGTTGAAAGGACAAGGTCAGGGTCACAGAAATTAGATTTTCTACCCTCAAGCAGAAAATAAAATAATGGAATCGCCCCATGTATTCAGGCAGCACTCAAGAAAACAATCTACTGAATATGATGAGCGAATCCATTATTTTATTGAGGTTATTCTGCAACACTGAAAAAGATGTGCCTGCATATGACGGGCAATTCCATTATTTCGTTGAGGGTATGCTGCAGTTTCGCCTATTGTACACGGCCTGCATACTGTTGTTACTGTATTCAGGCACAGAGTGGAGGTATGCACTTTATGGAGTGATAGTTGTGGTTAATACTGCTTTCTTTATGTGTTAAAAATGTAAATATCTTATGAGTTGCTAGTTCTGTGATTGGCTGTGATGTCATGCGATGCCTTCTTAATGCACGCTACTTGTCATTATGGTGTCTGCTTTTCTCTAGGTACGGTGTTATTCAATCAGGAGGTACTGGTAAATATGTTGCAGATTGGATTATGAATGGAGAACCACCGTATGACCTCATTGAGGTTGACCCAAATCGCTATGGCAAGTGGTGCACTAACGAGTTCACATTTAAGAAAGCACGGGAGTCGTATGGTTTGAATAATCTTCTAGGCTATCCTAAAGAGGAGAGGCCAGGTGGAAGGCCTACAGAGAGAATCTCTGGAATTTATGAGACACTCAGAAGGAAAGGTGCAGAGATGGGATTTCATGCTGGTAGGTGGAATTATATTATTTTAAATATATTGTATTAATTGGTTATTTTATTTAATATGTATTTGTCAAATAAATTGTATCTGTACTTGAATGATGTGTATTTTTTATGAAGGGAAATATAGTTATAATAAGAAAAGATACTTTACTTCAAATAAATGATTTTGTTATTTCATTTACTAGTTTGTCTTTGTGGTTTATTTAGTTAAATCTTTATTTTTTGCTTAGGTTGGGAACAGCCAAATTGGTTTGCACTTGAGGGTGATGAAGCAGGTTACAAACCGAGTTTCAGGCGAACAAATTGGCATCACCCTGTCTTAAGAGAATGTGAACTGGTTAAAACAAAGGCAGGAGTCATTGATCTTACACCTTTTGCCAAGTTTGAGGTTAGCGGGAAAGATGCTTCCAAGTACTTGGACTATCTTGTGGCTAATAAACTTCCAAAGGTAATTTGAGTGATTTGTCAGTCTCATTTACATTTCCCTGTATCTATTATTTTCTATAGATTCACAGTAGAAAAAAAAATCACTGTTCTTCCAAGAATCATTTTCATTGCATCCAATTTACTTTTTGAACAGTATGTAGTGATTCATTTTTGTTCTTGTATTTTTTCATATTCAAACATTCATATTATTTTTTAGATCGGATCTGTAAATGTTGCTCACATGCTGACCCCACGAGGGCGTGTGTATGCAGAGTTAACAATCACTAGAGAAGAAGATAACAAATATTTTGTAATCACAGGATCAGGCTCGGAACTGCATGATTTGAGGTGTGGTCACACAACTTGATGATGTCAGTAAATGTTTAATGAGAATGATAATGTTAATAAAATGTGAATATGGTTGATAATGTGAGGATAAGGGAGGTGGGATATTGTTAATAATAAAGATGTAACGTTGTGCTTAAGATGCTTGCCTTCTAATCCCATAGTCCTGGGTTCAAATCCTTGGACAGCACAGAGTTTTTTCTCACTGCTGAGTAACATCTTCACTCCCTAAGCCTCGTAATGCTGAATAAAGCATCACATCATTTCATTTATTTAAAAGCTCCGCTAAATATAAGCTGACCTCTAGGATATGCTGGCAGGGGTACTCACTATAAATATGGTAAAAAAAGATAATAACGATGTTGATATTGTTAATATAATTGATAATGCAAAGATAAAGATGATGAGCGAGGTGAGGAAATTGTTAACAATAAAGATAATAACGATGTTAATAATGTGAATATGTTTGATAATGTAAGGATAAAGATGATGAGCGAGGTGAGGAAATTGTTAATAATAAGATAATGATTTTGATAATGGACCACCACTAAGCCTCTATATATTGTGTTTTAATTATCACTTTCAGGTGGATGGAAGAACAAGCTTTAGCAGGTAACTACGATGTTCAGTTTAAGAATGTAACAGATGAAGTGGCCTGCCTAAGCATAGCCGGACCACTAGCTAGAGACATCCTGTCTACTGTTACTACAGCAGACATCAGTAACGATGCCTTTAAATTCATGACTTGGCAAGAAATCACAATAGGTGATGTGCTTGTGAAGGCATTAAGAATTTCTTATACAGGTAATTGAAGTGGAGTTTAAAAGCTTTGTAGTTAAGAAACTTTCCTTCTAATCCTAGAGTCCTGGGTTCAATTCCTGTCAGTGTTGCAGGATTTTTTCTCAAGACCAATGTAAATCCACTCCATGAGGCTTGCCACCCCAAACCAGCATACTGTCACTATATGTTAAACTGAGTAATTAGCATAAGAATGTGACAGTTTTATACTTCAGTGCAGAGAAGTCATAATACTTTGATTTGATTTTTGGGAATAGTAAAGCTAATTTCAATAAGTGACCCATCATGTTAAAGCTTATAATGTTGAGAATATGAATGTATTAAAAAGTCAAATCCCTGTTTTGGGATAGCAAACCTCATATTTAGTCTGTGTAAAGCATCATGTGTGTGTTGTCACCTACAAGTAGGACAGTAATATATTTGCCATTGACAGTTGTTGGTGCTTGTGTTGTGTGCATAAATAAATTTGAAAGATTTGTTTTTAAGAGTCTTAATATCTTTGGGACAATAGAAAAGAACTTGCTCGTAGTGGAAAACTTTGATTTTTCCATTAAAAAATTGAAAGTTCAAATTGTTCTCAAGCAAGGGTTCTAGCGTTAAGCTAGACTCTGCTATGCAGGATTCTTACTCTGAATATTACTTTCATCTGTGTAATATGAATTGATATCTAATTGCTGTTATTAATTTGACTGGAACGTTGTAGCTGGGTCACCAACAAGCAGGTTAACAGCATGACCCTCCCATTTATGTGAAGAGAGGCAAACATAAGTAAAGTGTCTTGCCCAAGGACACAAGCAGCGCGGCGAGTCCAACACCTTACACGCCCCTACGACACTACCACACGCTTCTGAATACTACAACCAGAAACAAAAGTAGTTATTTTGTAATGTGAAAGTTGTTTCTCTATTCTTTCTCATCCATTCACCAACATGAACATGTTATATAATGTCATCTTTGTTCATTCACTAGGTGAACTTGGCTGGGAATTCTACCATGATAGAGCAGACACAGCCAAGTTGTATGACACATTGATGACTGCTGGGGCACCATTCGGTATAGGAGACTTCGGCACTTATGCAATCAATGTTATGCGTTTGGAGAAAGGGTTTAGAATGTGGGGAGCAGAGGTAAGGTTTCTACACAATTGTGTTAACTCCCCACCCCCATCCATATCGTCTGTGTTGTATATTGATGACTTGTTTGTTATCTGGAAATCTTTCAGATGCTAACTGATAACAACCCGCTAGAGGCAGGTCTACAGCCATTTATCAAGTTGAAAAAGGTTAGTAGTCAATTTACAGCTAGGCAGGTCTTTGGATGTGCACTGTACCCAGAAATGGAAACATTTGCATACTCACCCTATAAAGACACATATCCTTAACCTCTGTGTACACTATCAAATTTGTGTGATATGCCCTTATACCATAAAACCTCGAATTGAAGCCCTAGGCTTCTTTTTTTTGCAAACTTTGGACGGGCTTCTTTTTTCGAGATGGGCTTCTTTTTGATTCCACTTTTGCAAAGTAAAGAGGGGGGACTTTAAAAAAATGAAAATTTTAGTAATTACTACTATAAAACAATAAATAGGGCCACTGTAACATCAGTCTGTATTAGGAGTGTATTCACGTAAACTACCATGTAAACCAAGCATGTTTTAAATATATTTTGTTTCTTTGAAATTCATGTACAGTTTATGTACTGTACTACTAGTCATGAAAAGAAGACCATGCTATCTAGAAAAGAAACCCATGGTCTTCTTTTCGAGATGGGCTTCCTTTCGAGATGGGCTTCCTTTCAAAGCTACTTTTGCAAACTAAAGAGGGGGGGCTTCAATTTGAGATGAGCTTATTCTTGAAATCCATTGAACTTGTATGATTCAAGGTTTTACAGTGTGGGCATAGTGACATATTTTACAACCAAATAATCACCATATCACATTTGTCACATAGAGTTTAATAGTGAGGATTGAACTTTACAATGGAAAGAGAATGTTGGTCACCATTAGTGAGTGATGTTGTAGAGCATGTATGGTTTCTTTTTTTTAAATTTAGACAATCAACTTTTAATGTAATGATGTAATTGCCTTTTTATGTAATGTAGGAAGCAGATTTTATAGGGAAAGATGCTTTGTTGGCCCTCAAGGAACAGGGTTTAAAACGAAAATTGGTCCTACTGACTGTGGAAACCGACGATGTAGATCCCGAAGGAAATGAAACAGTAAGAGTGAATGGAGAGGTCAGTTTTCAAAGAATTTCTAATAATGTATCATCACTACTATGATCATTACTATTATCATCATTGTACCCACTACTGCTGTTGTCATCACCATTGTAATCATTATCATCAGCAGCATAGAATTATCATTATCAATGATCACCATCATTATAACTATAATTAATATCTTTACCATAATCATTGTCATAATAATCATCACTTATTATCATATATTTGTTTTTTATGTATCATTGTAGTGTTGATTATTATCATTATCATCAACAGCATAGAATTATCATTATCAATGATCACCATCATTATAACTATAATTAATATCTTTACCATAATCATTGTCATAATAATCATCACTTATTATCATATATTTGTTTTTTATGTGTCATTGTAGTGTTGATTGTTCCAGCTGGTGACATTCAGGCTTCTTCTACATGATAAAATCAAAACAATATGTAATTAAAATAATGATAATTAAGATGTATATGGCCAACCTGAAAATATCGTGTTGCTTAAGCACTGAAAATTAGAAATTATTTTTGCTATAGGCGTAGGCCTAATCATGGAGTCAATTGCTAACCATTATACAACCCGTGTGCTTTGGCCTTGTAGCATGGTGACCATAGAGTTTAAAATATACCCAAGAAAAAGTTCATCAAAAGTGATTCACATTTCAGACTCTCCATCTGTGAAAGTCTCTCCCTGGGCCCTCTCTATTCAAATTCCTGGATCCAGCACTGGTGTTGAGTTGTGGATGAACAAATTTAGCAAACTTGATTAAATGGGGCAGATGCAGGATTTGGCAGTAGGGGGTGCTTAAGGACCCACACCACCTCTGCCCCCCCATGGTTGGGGCTGTGGTTTAGAAGTTTTGAGAACATGGATCTCAGGGTGCCCAGAAATTGCACTCTCATACTTTTAAAATCTTAATGGTACTTTGATAAAAATAGTATATCAACAATTATTTTTCTTAATACAATTTAGGGGGTTGCGATCACACCGTCTGCACCCCACCATCTGCCCCAGATTAATTAATTTAATTAATAACCTGAATAGATAAATAGTATATAAAAAAGGTGTACATGAATTTTATGAAAACATCTTTAAAGATTTATTCTCTTTTATAGGTTGTAGGAAACACCACCTCGGGTTGTTTTAGCCACTGTCTGAACCAAAGCATATGTTATGCATACTTACCATCTACCATGACAGAGATTGGTACACATGTGCAGGTAGAGCTGCTTGGTAAACATTATACCGGTACCATCACCAAGGAACCCTTGCAGGACACTGAACCTACCAGGAATCGCAAGATGATGAAAGCTGGCAAAAAGTAGTAAAGATGTGAAATAAATAAAATACACCAAAACAAATACATATACACATCTTACAGTACAGCTTGACACAACATAAGTGTGCATATTACGCACACACATACACCAACACATGCACGAAAGAACCCTTTCTATCATGAATAAAAAATTCTAAGCTTATGCCATTATGTATTAATTGTACCTTGATATTCAAAATGGTGATAGTGATGATGGTGAATGTTTTTTAGAAATTTGCATTTTTTGCAATTACTAAAGCATTATGATAATCATGAATTCCTTATTGAAAAAAATTAGATTTACTAAAAAGAAAACAAATTGGTTGTGAAGGTGTTTCAGTGGTGCATGCTTTATAATTTCAAGGTCTTGTGTTCAAATCTTGCTGAAGTCAGGGTATTTTCAAAATACTAGGCAAAATGCATTCACTATAATGTTTAGTATGAACACTGTCATAATGCAGTTCATTCGCAAGTGATTTAATCTGTATTTAAAAAAATCCCGGGGGGAGAATGTTAGCCCAGATCTGTGACAGATATGGTACATGAAACACTTGAGACTCAGGCCATATTATTTAATTAATTTAACAGAGCCTCTGAATATGAGCTGACTTCTTGGGCATAGCTGGTTGTGTCAGTATGGTTCAGTTGATTGGAATATCACTACAATACAAAACTCAATGTATAGATATAGAAATTTTTGCACCACACAATTCAAAATCATTTTTTATGTTAATTCTGAGTTGTACACTTAAAATGTTACAAAAATAAAACTTAAGCATCATAAGCATAAGCATTGTAGATAGAATAGTGAATTACTGTATGAGAGGTCAATAGTATCATGCTTGTTTGAATCATGTCATCATATTTTTTGTATTATTTAGTTTTTTTATTGACACTTCCTTGTTGGTTCTCAATACAGACATATCAATGATAATCTTTTTCTTTAAATGTTTTACAGTATTTTTTTAAAATTGTATATCTTAAAGTATTCGGTGGAATAGAACAATGTTCCTTATTTCTTCATTATAATTGTTGTTCTTTTTAATTGGATTTAATTTTTTTTTTTTTTTTTGGTAAAGTGTTTTATTTGCTTATGAGATGCTTTATACAGTACTAGCGAAATATTATTTCTTTTATTGTTCTTTTTGTGATATTTTTTAAACTTGATAGCAAAACTTCTCTATCAAAGATTTTCAAAGGAAGGGAAAAAAATTGGAATAAAATTGTTCTCATTCTGTCAACATTTTCAAATGTTTAACATTAACATACAGGTGGTAGAAAAAATAATTTTAAAATTTAGTATGAATAAAAAAAATATGCAAAGCAAGTGTGCACCCTTAAGCACAGGAATGTGATGCTGCAATGTAAACAGTAGGATTGATCAATGCTGCATATTTATTGAAGATAAATGCTGGTAATGAAGAAATACGATTACTTATGTAGTTTTCAATTAAATGACAGGCATGTCTTGATATATAAAAAGCACCAACACATGTGATTTTTGTACAAAGCGCAATCCATCTTATAGAATTTCCAAAGGCACATGGTAAAATGTAGAGGGGCAAAGAGGACCAAAAAAATAATGTTACTAATTTTTTAAAGATATTGAAGACCATAATTATTCTAGTTGTATGCATGAGGTACAATATATAAAATTTCAAATTGTAGACCAGAGCACTGTAAAAGATGTACTTTATTGTCATAGTCATAGCAATTTTGTTATTCTTATTAATGACCACTGTTATAAATATAATTCTTATCAATCAGTAAATTGTAAATTTAAAAATGTTATCATAAGCAATCCAACAATTACTGAACACAAAGCTTTCATATAACAACACTGAATTTATTTTTTAAGGTAAAATATTCAAGAATCCTTGCTCTTATAATACCTCTGTTTGAATAAAAAAGTATCTAATGAAATAAATTGTAAAAAAAAGAAGAGATATAATATTTATTTTGTGTAGTTGTCCGTTGTCTGATCTTACAAAGTGTACCAACCTACCCCGTCCCCTAATAACCACACAGTTGTATACAGAACCTTGGGGGGTTGTTGGGGGGGGGGGGGGGGGGGGCTGATTGGCGTAAATTTGGGGTGTGTATCTATCATTAAGTACAGGGGTGAATTCTAACTTCTCAAGCATGATTTTTTTTTTGCTTTAGACATTCAATAGGAAGGGGGTGTACCCAGTGGTGGCTCTAGGATGTATTTTCTGGGGTGGGGGCTGAGCTGTCCGACAGGGGGACTTCAGCTTTTAGGCCTGAGCTTAAGGAAGTGTTCGAGAGGGGGTGCCCCCTCCTGGAAATGAGATTTTTTTAAGAATAGGAACCTCTGGATGGCCAGAAATGACACTCTCAGACTGACAGACATTGTATTTGCTTGGCGTGGGCCTATTTTTATCTTTTTTGCTCTGACTGCCCGACGAGCTCTGTCCAATGGGGTGGGGGTCTTGACCTTCCTGGTTGGGGGGACATAAGCCCCTCCCCCTCTCCGCTGGCGCCGCCACTGGGTGTACCACCTAGATATGCCACTATAGAATACCATATCTTGAATGTGGTTACAGTAGAGGAAAATAAGATTGCTGCTTTTAAAAAGTTGATGGTGGCGATGATGATGAATGTTACTGCTTAGATTCCGATCTTTTGTATTGGCGATTTCAGTTTTTTTTTGTTCTAAGAGAAAATCAGAAGAGATTCTTCGTTGTGGTTAAGCAACAGGTGTCAGCCGTATGCCATGGAACTGTAAATAGGGCCAAAAAAAACCCAACCAATTTTGTGTTTATGCCTGAAAAGTAGAAAATACACAAATAATACAATTTTGGATTTGTATCGCGTACCATCCAGCCAAACAGCGCTAACCTTGGCCTCTTAGCCTCGCCAAGGCTACTCCGGCCTTATTTGCTCATAAAAAAATATTGTTCATTGTCAAAAAGAAAATAGAATTAAAATTAGAAAAATAAATAAAATTCCGACCCTTATTTTCGTAAAATTTGGGTCGGTCGGGTGAGGACAATACAATATTTATTTTTCTTTGACTAATGTGAAATCTGTTATTTACAAATTCCATGACAATGCAGTGTGATTTTATTCAATTAATTTAAAATGTTCTTCTTATAAAAATAGAACAAACCACACTGTGGCAATTCCAACAAATATGCTGCTTATGTACAAGAAGCTATGAATTTTAGAGCTTATACTGTAGCTGTGCCTATGTTAAATATTCCTCTTCCATTGGATTTTACATCAAAAGCAGATACTGTCCTTATCCATTTCTACAAAATATAGCTTATGTTATTTTCAATTCAGTACAAATATACATGTTAAAGTGATGAAATTGAAATCAGACCTGACTAATTTCTTGGTATCAATCCTTTTTTTTTTCAGAAAATGTCCATATCAAATGAGAAATACAAAACAAATGAGATTGAAATTGAGATATAAAACAATCAGATTACACTGAGACATTATATCATATTATAATAACATTATTATGAATTATTTGTATTTAATTTCCATATATTTACATCTATATATCGATTTATACTTCCGGTTTGACTTAAGCAATGGAAATCACAGAACAAAAAATAAAACTTTCTAAAAAACCTCTCAAAAACATCTCTATTGTAAATCTAGAGTTCCTAAAATCAACATGTTCACGTCGTCCTCTCTTGCTGACTATTCAACTATGACGAGGAAACAACTGCTAACAAATAAAAAAATGACGCACGCGCAAAGAATTGCTTATAATGACGTCATGTTTTTCCGGTTGATCAATTAATTTTAGAGATAGAAACTCCCTACAACTTTCAAGTTTTAAATCCACTGTGTTTGTATATCTGTTTGATTTCAAAGGATAGTGTGTGTCTTGGCTATAAGGTATATACATTGTGTGATATTTATTTTGTATCAACCTTAAATTTTCAATATGAATGGGCTGAGCGTAGGGGAGCTGTGTTGTCTCTTTTGTTGCCCACCTTGCCCATCTCGTATCGCAGCTAAGTTAGCCTTTCTTCCGCCTGAGCCTACCTACGAACTCGTTCCTGTAGATGCTTCCGAATCAAAGTTTTCGCTAACATTATCAGAACGTGCGGAATGGCAGTACGGAGAGAAAGAGAAGGAATCAATTGAAGTATTTTCAACGAGGAGCAAACGAGGAAATAAAGTAGCTTGTATGTTTGTACGATGTTCCCAAAATCCACATTTTACAATTCTATTCAGTCACGGTAATGCAGTTGACATTGGTCAGATGAGCAGTTTTTATCTAGGACTTGGTACCAGAATCAATTGCAATATTTTTAGCTATGATTATTCTGGTTATGGAGGTAGCACAGGCAAGCCCTTAGAGCGTAATTTATATGCAGATATTGATGCTGCTTGGCAAGCACTAAGGACACGGTATGGAATTAGTCCAGAACATATAGTTTTGTATGGACAAAGTATAGGTACTGTTCCAACAGTGGATTTAGCTTCAAGATATGAATGTGCTGCTGTGATTCTACATTCACCATTGATGTCTGGGATGAGGGTCGCATTTCCGGAAACAAAACGAACATGGTGTTTTGATGCATTCCCAAGGTTTGTATAACATTTTTTTAATGCCTACAGGTACAGTACCTATCCTACACCCAGCCTGTACAATAGAATTAGAGTAATGTCAATTGAGTTGAAATCGAATCCATCACCTCTGAAGATACACTATTACAATACAGTACATATCTTGGTCCTATTTAATTATACTACAGTTTACCACCTTGTTAGTGTTACTGAGCCTTTGTTAGTGTTACTGAGCCTTTGTTAATGGCTAGAGCAGGGGCGGATCCAGAAATGTCCAAAAGGGGGGGGGGGGGGGCTGAAAGTTGGGTCGATTGAGACAACACTGTCGTAGGGGATCGGGGGCATGCCCCCGCAAAATTTTTGTGTTCTTGACGCCCGAACATAACATTTGAGGCTATTCTGGGCTATCATTTTTTTCTTTTCTCTCTTTTTTTTTACCTCCCAAAAGGGGGGGGGGGGCCCAGGCTGGGGTGCCCCCCCCCCAAATCCACCCCTGTAGAGTAAAATTAAACGATCATATGCCTATGTGTGTATTCTCAACTGAATGAGACAAGATACACTACAGTAAATGTCATCCAACTGGCTAGCATGTCATTACTGGGCACGCTTGCAAAAAAATACAGGAAAGTACTTCTTGTTTTGGTAAAGTGAATAAAATAATTTATGTTAGTTAAGATAGAATCACAAAAATCCTGTTGCCCCCAAATATTGAATTACAGTACAGTAAAGAAATAGAAAAATAAAATACAAAATAACAGTCTCCTTAGTCAAAGTAAAAATTGCAACACTCCTGCAAAACCATACAGTACAGGACAGTACCATAAAATCATGATATCGTCAGACCAAGCACAATGTAAATTGCTTTGTACTGCATGTACTGTAGTGTCGGTTTAAACACTATGCACTGATTACTACTATCTGTAATATAGAATTCTCCCCCAGGGAGCTGAGTGTGTGTCTGTCATATGTTTGATCCCATATTGGGTGTAATAAGTGCCTAATAGATTTTGTGGCCTTTTATTGACATAAAGCACTACTGTACCTTATACTGTATTTCTAGGCTAAAATCATTTTTGAAATTTTCTAGGCTAACATGAGTGACATCTTTATTTTAGATATTCATTTGCTAAACGTATACAAATACAAATATGAAAATATTAACTCCGAACATGATGATCATTTCATTTATTTTATACTTCTTTTAACACTTATTTCAACATTTGACCTGAAAATTTGTACATTTCTCAACACTTGAAAAAGTAGTATCAGCCACCGCCAGACTTTTTAGCAAATTTTAACACTTTTCCGAAGCTCGTTGAGAGTGCGTATGTGATCAGATTGACATGTAGTGAATACTACAAGAATACGAAACATTTTAGCTTTACAATGGTACCAAACACTTTATTCTAATCACAATCTGTGACCCACAGCAGTAAAATGAAAATGACACAATTTTAGAGATTTACGCAATTTCGCACAACGAAGCCGAGATAATCGCGATTTCGTGAAAGTAAATCAATAAGGTTCTAGGCTGATGTCAAACAAACAAATAGTGAAATACTTACGGTCCAGATTGAATATAGTGTTCAAATTGTTAGTAAGTGTAGATAATTACCCCATCTATCGGATTCCGTAAAAAAAGCCCTGAAACACGGAGATTCCGTGTTTGGTTGTTTAAGCGTGGCGTTTAACCAAACACAGAGATCTTACAAATGTTTTTTACGTTTAATATTGCAATAATCATTCAACAATCTTGAAGTGTTTTGTAATTAGCATGAAATTAAAATAATTTGCTTCATTCAGAAATTATAATTTGCTCTGGGATCTTTCCTACTTATTACAATTAATTAATTAGTGATTGAAAAGATAGACATACTGTGACTGTACAGTACAGTAGTTCTTTAATTATTCTCTAAACATTCATTATAATTTGAGTTAACTGGTGGAGCTGTTTCTCCACAGAAGGCTTGATTTACAAAAACAGCTCATCACCCATAGGAATTCTATTGTGTACAGCACTATCCTAATAGTATCCTCACATCCTTGACTAGAATACAGTAGCCACTTTAAAATCAGTGGTCAGTTTCAATATCCAAAAATTTATGCTTTCTACAGGTAAGTTATGCTCCAGTGTCAGTAATCAGTGTTGTTGATTTTTTTTCTGAATCATATTTTAGTATTGCATATTTTCAATTGTTTTCTTATTTTACATTAAATTTTCTATATTTAATTTTTCATTCAATTTTATATGATCTAAAGGCTAGCAGCATTTACACTGAATTACATGGGAATACATTTAATACATTAAAAACACAGAAATACAAAAACCGTAAAAATTGATAAAATTTATACAGTAGTATTTTTAATTGTTTTCATATTTTACATTACATTTTGTATATTTAATTTTTAATGTACTGTACTATTATTTATTAATATTTATAATTGATTTTTTTCTGTGCTTGGATTCAAATTTGACTGTATCTCATAATGTCGACAATAAGAATTCCTTGATTTTTTGTACAGTAAGTTGCAAAAAAATTACTACGTAAAGACTACATTGTGCACTACTTTGCTGACACAGGCTGATGTGTTAGCTCCACAGCTACAATACATAAATCCAATAATACATCTGTAACTTGAGTCATACCCCGTTAGGTGCTGTTCTTCTACAAGCCTACAGTAATTCCAAAATACATAAATAGTTCAGGGGGTACAGTAGTACTGTAGCTTTCACTGTAGTTTCTTATTTCCCCCTTTAGCTTTCTTTGATGGATGACTCAGCCTTTGTGCAAGATTACAATATTATTGATTAGAATAATTTTTGCTGAACATACAGTACAGTAGGCTCTATTTTTGTTTCAAGAGGGTGGCTCCCACAGGAACTGACTAAAAAAGACTCTCATATTACAAAATATTAGATTAAAAAGTTGCTGATGATTATTTTATGCTTATCGTAAAGCCAGCCCCTGTGCGTAAGCCATCAATATATTCAAACATAACCTACAGTACAGTATCTAAAATTCTGCTGTTTCAAAATTCCTTTTGATGAAAGTGGGTGCACTAATTCTTTTTGCCTGGGTTTGAGGAGATATTAGTTTTTGAAATACACACTACAGTATACATGTACATGTACTGTACAATAGAACTTTATGGCTACAGATTTACTGTACAGTAGATTTTGAATCTACTGTATTCAAAATTTTTTGGATTATAGAAAATATTTGGAGAGGGTGGAAATTTAACTATTCAATAAAAGCTGTGAAGCCAATAAAAGATCAATATTATTTTTTATATTATCCTAATAGTTATTAATACCTATCCTGTTTAAAATATTATACAGTATAGTGTTTTTTAATTTATAATTTCTTTTTGTTTGTCGATTCTTTTTTAAATTTTCTCCTCTTCTCGGATACTTTTGGCACATTTTTGCTAAATGAGAACACAAGATTTTATGTTAAGTTGTTTTCTGCCTCTGACTAAAATTATAACAAAATGTACAGTACATAAAAAGTCTTGCTTTACAGTTTCATTCGTTTGATTCTTGGATTTATTTAATATTTATTAAACTTTCTTTATTCTGGATGGCATGCTCAATGCAAAGGCACTGGTTTTCGTTGTGGTCCAGTTACAGTAAAATCATAAAAAATAAGAGATTGGAAAATAAAACAAAAGGACTTTTTTACAAAAACAGAGGAGAGAGCCATTAATTAAGAGCATTTCTAAAGTTACAAAAATTGAAATCATGGAAATCCCTAGTTATGTTACCAGGTAGATGGTTCCAGTTTAAGCCTGGTTTCCTGTCGACGTAAAAGTCAGAATTTCTTACGTTTCATACGTTTCTTACGATTCATGCGACTCTTACGCAAAGTTGAAATAATGCCGACGTCAACGACGTTTGCGTTGATCATGTTGGGCCGCAGACAAACCAGCAATTTTCAGCCGCTTACGAAAGTTGAACTTACGACGTTGAACTCCATCCAGAGTCCAAAACGAGCGCTTGCGACTGTTATGTTGAGTTGAATTTTTCTTGCGATACGACGACATAAACATATATGACGTAATTCGTAGTTCTTACGATTGGCTGCCTTCGTTCCCACTAATCCCGTCATTGGTACCCAGGTTTTTCGCGCGAAAATAGGCCTCTGCCTCTTCATATGAGCTGCACTAAAATTGTTAGTAAAATGTCTAGCATTATATAAAATGGATTATTGCAAAGAAGTTACTGTAGGCCTACATTATTAAAATACAAATAGGCCTATTTGATGTTTGTATTTTTGTTTCACAAAATAATGATGTTTCGAACATTCCCTGAACATTCGTGTTTCATACCACCAAATTTTAATTCTAAGAAACTGCCACGGCCTCGAGGTGCTTGTCACACAATCTACTTTGAAAAAACAAAAAACAAAAAAAAACATTAGGACAAAAAACACGGGAAAGTTTGATTAGCCATAAGTGACAAAATAGATATAAAACGGTCCTCACTCCCGCTGTATAAATGCCCCCCTTGGTTTGTGATAAGATATGTTATATTTTCATTTTTACTACTCTTCTCATTGAAGTTTCGCAACGACCAACTGATTTGTTGCAGTATTATCATTATTATTATTATTATTATAATACGATAATTGTCGTCATTATCATAATCAAACGGTGCTGCTGAGCTAGTGCTACAGTAATCCATTGACATGTATTTCTGTTAGTAACTGATACACATTTTTTTTATAAGAAAATATTTCATAACCCCGGGTTTTAAGAACAGTGACACTAAAATTGCTTTGAAAATAAGAACAAATTTCACATGCAATTATTATTATTATTATTATTAGTTCCTATGCATGTAATGCAATAGGAACTATTGTAATCACTCTGTCACATTTCTTTTGTTTTTTATTGTGTGTAGTATGTGTGTGCGTATGTGTGTAGACATTTAT